ACCTGAAAAAACATTCAGGTTTGGTTTGGGAAGGGAAAAAAAAAAAGAGTAGGGGCTTAGATCTTTTCTTATTTTAAGGATTCTGCTTCACCTCTTGCTGTTAGAAGATTAATTTACTTCCCTTTTGTTTTGTTCCAGTGTGTATTCCATAGCATTAATTTATTCCTCAAGGTCTGATAATATCAGTTCTGTGTCCATTGTCATCAAAGTGTATAGGTGATGTGTAGAAATGATAACAGGGTTGCATTTTTTATATGCTTGATGCTTATTCAACAAAATAGCCTGCTAAGCATTCCTCTTAGATTTCTTTATCATCCAGTTTATTGGAAGTGCCTGAAATAATCTCCTGGCCTTCGAAAAAAAAAAAAATTTCCTGAATTTAGTCATCAGAGAAATGTCAACTTTAAAAAAGAGGAAACAGCTTTTTATTTTGCTGCATCTTCCACATAGACACCTTCTGTTCTTGAAATTGCCTAATATTTTTTTGAATAAATATTTTGTTTTTACTTATGCACTTGGTAAATTTTAGCGCATACTCTTGCTATAGAAAAATGGGTTTTTCCTGCTAAAAATTTTGGAGATATCTTCAGAAGAATTTAACATTCACATTCTATGGCCTCAGTGACTGAAATCTTGCAAGATGATGGCCTTTATGTAAGGGTTTTAATTCTGTCATTCAAGTGAGCTAATCTATAAGCTTTTCAAAACAAAACAAATAAACAAAACAAAACAAAAATATTAAAAAAAAACACAAAAAAGCAAACAAAAAACCACCAAAAACCCCACAAAAAAAACCACACACAAAAAAAAACCAACCAAAAAAAAAACACCAACAACAACAACAAACCCCAACCCTGAAACCTTTTAACACACAGTGTAGATTTTTAAAAGTTAACAGCAAAATTCCCCTGGTGATGCAGCTGTTCTGAACCAGACAGGATAAAAAGCCCAGCAGGACTTTTCCTGCAGTAGTATCTTTGGGTTGCTCAGGAAAGTTTAGTTCTGGTAACTTTGAAACTTCATCAAATTTAATAGATATCAAATTTATGTAGACACAGAAAAAACATTGTTTGAAATTTACTCAAGAGACTTGCCCTCTGTGGTTCCAGTTTAGCCAAGTGCTTAACTTCAAGTTACTAAATTTCCATGAACCTTAAATATAACCGAAACTTTCCATATGCCATCATGCTTGTGTACCATGTTCAGTTAGGTCTTCTGTCCTGCAGACCTCAGACAAGTCCACAGTTTCCATATTTGCTGTTGGAATTGTGGGTTTTTTCTATTCCTGAAGGAAAATTATATTATTTGCAGAGCTACAAGTCTACTGGCATTAGCCAAGTTGTAAACCATCAGAAATTATCTTGATCCATGGCTTCATAAGGAGAAGTGTCTGGCTAAATTGAAAGAAGTATGAGATTATTCAAAAATACATGTACACACAAGGAATGAGAAGAGTTTTATTTAAAGTTCATAAATACACTAGATTTTTTTTACAAATGGGCTTGAAACACTTACCTGCTCTCTGCCATTTTTTATAGGAGTCTTGTCTTCTGTGTCTGCACATGGAATACATCTTTCTGGACAACGGATTTATCATCAACATGTTCTGAATGGAAGTAGAACTTGCCATTTGTAAATGTATGGATACAAAATGTATACATTACACAAATATTTGGAAATTATGCATATTTTCTGCACTTTTATGATTGAAAGGCATCTATTCCACCCATTTCTAATTATCTACTCATTTCTAATTGCAGGTTTAGGAAGCAGAATTCCATTTTCCAAATGCCTGCTATTTTTCACTAGAACTAAGTCACTGACAAGTTCTCTTTTCAAAGCAGTTTCCTATGTACTTGTACAACATTATTCCACAGATTTGCTATTGAAATGAAATACTGCAGTGACCTTTTTAATTCCCCTGACTTTTTACAATCTTTGAAATTTAGCACAACAGCAGGAGTTTAATCATATTCACTGATGTAAAAGACAAAATAAGGCACCTCTATGTTCAGATAGAGATATGACCTCAAAGGTGCAGAGCCTTCAGAGACTTGCTGGAGATCCCCAAGGACAATTACAGCGATCTTGCTTGTGGTCTCCCTGCAATCTCTGGCTTTGCCTCCTGATAACACCAGCAGAAATTTTGCACTTACATTGTGTGCCAGAGTGTTTTGTTCTTGCTACTTGAGCAGCGTTGTTTTCCTATCAAAGAATAATCTTATATTACTTTATCTCTCTGTTCCTGTTCATGTCTGCTTCACAACAGCTTCCAGGTGTGAATTTCCAAGGTCTTTGATTCTCTCACTGCTGCAAGGTGTGAGGCTTTGGTTTCATGCTTGTCCTTTTTTTCTGCCACGGTATGAAAGTTCATCAACAAAACAACCTAAACCACTCATCTGCTGGCAGTTGTCTGTTCTGTCAGGGGGTTTGTCACTTTTGTTGATTGATGCCAGGTGGACCAAAGGAAGGCTTTAAAAAAATCCCTGCATGTTTATCCATTGCCCCAGAGTGACAGGGCAGATCAACTCTCTTAAATCCTCTTCCTATGCAGCAACCATGATGGGGTGACTGATGGAGAATCCTGTCAGCTCTGAGCTGTTTTCACTGTCAGACTGGAGTGGAGGAGCTGTATATGATCACTCTACAAATGTCTTTTACTGCTTAACAGTCTGGGCACTTTTGCCTCTGCGTTTTTACACATACCTGTTCTCAGGACAAGACTGTGACCAATACTACACCGAGATAGTCCTTTGTATACACTTATGCTTCTTTTTTTCCACAAATTGTGTCTTCAATGTAAACGATCATTGTAAATACTTTTAAAATTACCCTTTTAAAAGTTTATTTTGGGTAGCTGACTAGAGCAAGAGCAAAGGACTAATATCAAGTGTTAATATCAAACCTTTTCTGGGGAGAATGCTATCACTGTCTTATGCACAGGAATTTCAGCACTGGCTAATGCATTCTATTGTGAGGCTTTTTGATGGTCTCTGTGAATTTAGTCAATAGCTGTGGTTCAGTTAATCAAAGCCAGAGACAAAAACTATCATCATGAGCTGGCAGCCACAGGAGAAACTTCTGAGTGGACAAAGAATTGCATTGATACTGCTTCCGGTGTAATCCTTCCATTGAAGGAGACTCTGATTGTTTGGGAAATTACTCAAGCATCAGTCATGAGCACTGAATTCAACGGTTGTTAAGGAATGTACAACATCATCTTAAATCTTGTTGGATTTCACTCTCAGTAGCACAAGCTTTTGGTAACTTCCATAATTGAAGTTAATAGCAGTGAACAGGGGATGCTTAGTGGAGCTGCAGAAAATCTTGCAAAACTTTTCACTTGAATTCTAGAAATGAATTTTTTTGGTCCAGAATTTGCCATGTGTCTTAAGCTTCCACCCATTAAAAGGATGACAAATTGCATTGTTGCATCCTTTCTTCAGTGTTTGCTCTTTAAAAATTTTTAAATGAGAAAGTTTATTGAGTGATTGGATCAAAGAATATTTCAAAGCTGCATTTGTAGTCATATATCTACTAGTATTGTTCTAAATGAAAATTTGATTGCTAGTCAAGTCTCAGCATCAAAACCATGAAGTTTCTCTCATTAGATTTAACCAACCTAGTTTTTCAACGAACAAATGACAAATCTTCCTAATCTGGTAGTTTTCCAGTTAATTGACAAAGTAAGTCTAAATAGGGAATAAATTTGAGCAGCTGCTCAAAAGTTGCAGAAACAAGTTTAGCCGCCTTGGGTAAATTATTCATTGCAAATTATTTGCTCAGCTCAAGTTCACCATTTTTTGAGTGATGCTTTGTGGAAATTCAGGTTGCTGAACTGGTCAGCTTACAGCTAGGGGATAAAATTTCTGAGAGAAGCCAAATGACATGTTCAGCCAAGATACTATTCATAGAATGACAAATGAAGTCATTTGTCTGAGGACACTTTTCTTGAGAAGATTTTGTTTGACCAAAAACTGCTCAAAAATTACATTAGTCTAGCAATATTTGCAAAATTCTACATCCATATATGGTGATCTTTAGCAAGCCATTTGTGGCCCTTCATTACAAAATTTACTGCACAATAGTTTATGTGCTTCCAGATCCTTCACATAAAGCACTGTACAGTAGCTTCAATAAAATTTGTGTGAAGTCTTTTACAAAACTCCATCTCAGCAATGGGATTCCATCAGAAAGAACGAGTATCATAGTGTTAGACTTTCATTTTCAAGGATTTTCCCTGTAAATTAGTAAATCATTATCTCAATTGAGAGACAACTCACAATAAACAGTGCATTGCTTCTAGATGTATCACCTGTGATCAATAGGTTCCCTTTCTGCCTCAGTACTTGTTAATATTGTATATGGGTTTGATTAAATGTTTAAAACCATTTTTTAAGTGGCAGAATTAAAAAGGATGGACTCATTACCAAAAACATTCAGCTTTTAAGGCCAGGCTAGAAAACATTTACTGGTGCTATATCATCTTAGGATGTGATCTAATCACATCTAATAACTTATGTCAGACTGCCCTGCATTAGTATGTGGATAGGAGACACATGATCCAAGGGAACTCTACATTTTCTGAAAGAGATGGTACAGATGAGATCCCACCACACTGTTATTGATTCTCTTAATTCAACATCAACTAGAAAATCTATTTATTAATTTCTATGATTGCTTCCTTTTGAAATTTAATTTTTTTCAGTCTCCTTTGCTAGTCTCACATGCCCTAAGTCTAAGGTTTTCCACAGAACCACCAATGCTGTGAAAATGCAAAATTACACAGGGAGACCCACTGCTTGGGTTGCCTAAGTATTTATGACAACCACAAGAACTTCCAGCTTTGTTTGGGAAGTGCCCGTATTGCTGGATGCCACAGGGCAAAAGTCAAAGGTCAGTGTTAAAAGCTAAAGTTTGCAATTTTTTGAAGTGTGTTGTTATTTCTTCAAAGAAGGTGTAAACCCTTTATTTACTTTTTTTCCCCTTTTCCTTGTCAGGATGCTAAGATGCTGTACCCCAAAAAAACTTGTGAGAAGAACTATTATGGGTGTCTGTGTTGCGGGACTCAGAGCCTGGGTAAGGCAGTTCCCTTGTCCATTCATGTTTGGTAACTGTATTAAATCACATGATCATGTCATGAACTGTATTTTCTACAAGAATTTTGTCTCCTTTGCTGCATGGGCAGCATGATGCTCACTTCAGAAGCAGCTGTTTAACATTCCTTTTATCCTCAGTTTTCAGGGTATGGCCCCATACTGTGAGTACACACAACTTCAATTTGACTTTACAAACCTGGATTAGTTTGTCTTCGTGTTTGCTGTGTAGTGAAGTTGTTATATCCCCATTTAGGAAAGGGAAATGAGGCACACAGGGATTTAATTTAACCTGGTTTGCTTGGTGTAACATATTGAGCCTCGAAGCTCATGCTTGTGGATTGCAGCTGCAGCTGTGATTGGTCAGTGGTTCTGCTCCCATCTAGCATCCATGGTTAAGAAAATGGTTTTATGGACCTTGCTCAGTCCGATTAGAATTCTTCATGTAGAACCAGAGACAGAAGCAGTTTCCTAAGGCGGCACTGGAAGATCTTATCTATGAAACTCTTTTTTTTCTGCTTTTTGGAGGCCTCTGTATTTATTAGTAAATGCCTTCCCAGTTTGACTGTAAACAAGACTAGACCATACTTTATTCATTTTGGCAAATCAGTTAAATGACTTTTCCATCACACGGTTTCTTATTTGATTTAACAATTAATCATATCAATGTGGAAATTGCACGTCAAAATGTTATTGCTGAAGCTGGCAAAAAAGCTCAGCTTGGCTTTGCCTCGGAGGCTGGCATTTTAAAGAGAACAGACTCCTTTGAACATGCCAGTTTGAACAAACCCAATGCCACTGCCAGAGGCAAACAGCTACTACATACTTTACTCTAGCCTTCCTTCTCAACATCTGCTTTTCCATCCTGGTTTTTCCCAGTTGTCCTTACTTTACCTTCTATCCCTAAAAAAAGCAATACTAACCTAAACTAGAAAATTCCCACAGCATCCTTGTCCCAGTCTGTATATTTTTTCCCATATCCAATTGGTCCTGTTTTGCTCATTCAGCATTTCAGGTTGAATGCTCCTTTTAATCTGCTGAACCAGTGCCAGGAAGCAAAGTCACTGGAGGGACAGGACAGACTGTCTCCTGGTCTGGTACTGCTATTTACAAGAATGCCCAGTTTCATTTGTCTAGGCCTGAGTCAAAAGGAGTTGGCACCAATGACCTTTGAGGTTGCTGTCTGCAACCTGCAACATTTCTGTGTGCAAAGAAAGTGAAGCAAAGGAAGAATCTGAGGAGATTTAGTAGCCAAATTAAAGCGGTATTACTTCTCCAAACTAAAGGCTCACTAAATGGCAGGTGTTTTTTCAAAAGGGGCAGCAGAAAGAACTTTTTTAAACACACAACCCATATTGTCTACCAAATACAAAAGTATTTAGGGAAAGTTGAAATGGTTGATGTTTTCCTGTTTGATCCCTTTCATCCTCATCCTCCTATCTCTCAGCAAACTCAGCATTAATTTCCTTCTGGCTTTCTGAGTGATCCCAGCCACCAGCAAGAGCAGACAAGATGAAAGGATCAAACCAGAAGTAAGGATGGGTGGCTATGTGTCAGGAGGAGCTCTCATCCCACTTGCCCTGTGCAAGGTCAGACCCTCTCAGCTGTATCCATTTAGGACACTATAGAGACATGCAGGTTTTTACTGGTTTGCTATTTATTTTCACTGTTATTCTCAGCCCACATGATTCATCCTCTGACTGTTGAAATGCTTATTTTCAATAATGAATATTTCAGCTACTGAGATAAACAGCTCTCATTCTACAGAATTATATATAGAGCTTGGTTGCACACGTTTCACTTCCAGATGCTTGCCAAGTGCAAGGATGGCTGAACTTTACAGTTCAGAAGCCGCAAATCAGGCCCTGAAAGTCAGGAGACTGCCTTTAAAATAATAGAATCTCAAAGAATAATCAGTGTTGGCAGTATTAATTTGCTGCCTGGTTTCTAAGCCCTTGGGGATTCTATTTTCCCTTTGCAAATCCACAAGGACAGAAACTTTTGCATTTTTTAATGAAAGAAGAGATGGGGTAAGCACAGGGTAAAAAGCGAAGAGACCATGAGAGTTGACAAGACTGACAATGGCAGGCATGCTCCACAAATACAGTGAGAGATGAGACTTGATCCCAGCTTTTGTGGCTTGCACAATGCCTTGAGAATTCATGCTGGTCTCTACAGCGAGCATAATTCAGCACCAGAAATCATCTGCAAAATGAAGTGTTGAAAATTGCCCCCAAAATTTCTTATGTTGTCTTGGTATGCAACACAAGTATTTTTACATACTAGCATAATTTTGAAGATTTTTTTTTCCTCTTTATAATGCAGGAAATGCTTAGAGGTAGAAGGGAAAGGTAAATGCATAGCAGAGCCCCTTGCTCTGTTCTCTGCTTTTATATTGCTGACCACAGTGAGGTGCTTCTCTGTAACAGGACCTTCTGAATTTCTCAGTGTGACTTTAAAGCCTGGTGGGGAAAGGGGATAGTACATAACCAAGTGTATGTTCCCCAGGCAGCTGTGCCTCTACTGATGTTCTGTGTACGGAGCAGTGGCCATTCCTGAGCTCATAAGGGGAGACTAGGCCTTCATTGACAGAGCTACAACAGCCAACAACTGCTGTGAATAATGCATCCTTTCCACCATAAAAATAAATTTTCTAGCTTTCTTCTCTGGTCTCTGTTGTTTCTTAGCCCTTCATGTGTTTGTAGGGGAAGTGCTACAGGGCTGGAAAGGAGCTGGAACATCACCAAAATCTCTTGCTCTTGTGTACACAACTCCATGGTGTGCTGCGTATGAAAACACATCTTGGGAAGGGAATGGAGTGAGAGGTACAAGGAGATAGCCTTTTAATTTTGGGAAGAGGACTATCTGACAACCAAAGCAGAAGATGCTTGGGAGGGAAGAAAGGAAAAGAGTAGGGCTGGACATGGAAAATGGAAATGTTCCAGTGGCAGGATGGTAGGGACTCCTTGAGTAGGAAGCAGGACCACTGAAGTCTAATCACAATTCTGCCATTTGTCCTAAGTGATCTTGGAGAAGTCACACTCATTTCTATGACTGTTTCTTCACCTGTGAAGAGGAGAATAACAGAGAATCTCATTTCAAGTTTATGAAAAATCCTGGGGTGGTATTATCATCATTAACAGTAGGCAGGCACCTCTGCCTGGATTGTATCATTGAAAATGTCACTCTAAGAGCCACTTGGAAGTCAAAGTTGCTGCCTGCAGAGTTTTCCTTTGTTCTTGGTGTATCAGACAGTCTCATCAGCTCAATACCATTCTATGTTGCTGTGCAATGAAAAAGCCCAAACTGCCCCTTTACTGAAAGGCATATAATCATTTGCCTGCTCCTGTACAGACTGCATGTGACCATTTGAAGCACCCTCTGGAAATTCTCTTTTAAAAATAACAATAAGCTGTATTGGTTTTTTTCTCCTTTATTGTACAAGCACGGCACAAATCTGTAAGACCCTTGAAGTGTTGCATAGGTCAGCCTATTCTTTATGTTCAGTGAAAGAGCAGCACTTCAGTGTTATTCATTTTTATTGTACTCAAAGTGGTTCTATGTACTTGACATACATAAATGATTACGGTCCTTCCCTGAGAAGCTGCATGGACACTGTATGAAGTACAGGAAGAAAGCAGCTTGCAAATGCATAACTACTTGTATTGTTTTGCTTTCTTTTAGGCTACTCTTTAAAAACGGGATTGTATAAGAAGAGTGTGTTTATTTAATAAATACCTTGAGTTGAGACATCCTTAAACGTCCTTCCGTTTTATTTAGAAGAAAAAGGAGAAACAAACAAACAAAAAAAACAGCAGGTCTGCAGGGAAGCTGAGGGACTCGGGTATGGAAGAGATCTGGTATGTCATTATGTCAGGGTTTCTGGTGTTACCTAGAACTTTTTTGCAGCTCAAGGGAAGAAACTTTCCAACTGGATAAATAGTAACCTTGAAAAGGCATTAGACAAAACATGCTAAGTATAAGATGTGAAAAGAGATCAGCAAAATAACCTCTGGCTTATGAGTCCAAAAGTGTAATGATAATATAAGCTTTTGACTTGTCAAAAGTCAAGCTCAGTTACACTGTGGGAAGGCTTAAAATGTATATACTGTAAAGTATAAACCCAAAGTCCTGAATGGGCCCAAGTCAGAGGGCTTGAATGCAAGATTTGACATCTGGGATAAAAAGCATGGTATCAAGTATTGGACTATACCTATTTTCTTTATGACACCAGGCAGTTAAAGAATGACTAATGTACCTGTGTTTAAGAAGGAAGCAATATATTTGGAGGGTATTTTAGTCCCAGTCCTTTTTGTCTAAGTCTTTACACCTAATTTTTAAGGAAAGAATAATTCTTACAAACTGGAGGCAAGTGTAAAGAGATAACTGATATCTATGTTTGATTTCAAGACAAAGACAGTACTAGAGATATAATCCCAGTGAAATTCAGTAAAGCATTCAGAAGTCTGATCTGACAGATGGGAAACAATAATAAATTAAGAAAGATTGGCATTAGTAGGGGAAATGATAGGACAGGTGAAGAGTGAAGACATTAGGTAATATTGAAGAGGAGACTGGAGGAAGGTTATTAATGAAGCTTCTCTGGGAATATCCTGAGATGAAGAGGTGACCTATGGATGCAATTTGGTCATGCAGTTCTGTAAACTTGTCCATGTTGTAGCCATGGAAAATGCAAAACAACATCCAGAGAAGTGTTTTCCACAAAGAAGGAGAATCTATACCATTAACATTAGCTCAGGAAAGATCTTACATGAATCACTGTGTAATTTTGGCCACCCTTGTTAAAAAGAGATGATTCAGAAGTAAACAAGCTGAGGGAGGAGCTAGCAAGGTGATGATGAAAATGGAGACTCCATCTGGAGAGAGTGATCTAAAAGAGGTTTTTGCCACTGTTTATGAATGTGTATTTAGTACATGAGGGAGAGAAAGACAAAGTACTATTTAACTAAAACACAGCTTGAAAACTTAGAACATAATTCTCAGCTCTTTAAAGTAATCAAAGTTGGGAAGGGTCTTTTGGTAAAAAAGTGAAAATCTTAATTCTCTGTCACTTGTTGACAGGGATTATGTTATGTGACTGTGTGAAAAGACAGGGAATGAACATGGTATTTCTTAAGGTCCCTTCTGTTCCCCTTCCCCACACAGACCTCCAGAAGCTCTTCTGATTCAGCCATCTTTGAGGAAAGTAGGAAGGAATGGTTATTCATGAATTTGGTTGTGAGGTGACATATTGTTATTGTTCAGCAGAGAATAGAAGAACTTCCCCTTTCCTGGAATGGCCCACTTGAGTCTTGCCCTAAAATTATTTTCCAATCCTCCATCACTACTGGTGGGAAATGGCAGTAAGTCTCATCCCCTGTCTTCTGCTGAGGGTTGCATGGGGAGTTATTTATAATTTCAAAACTCATCACAATTCTGGATATGTGCAGTTATTTCCCTCTTTGGGAAGAAATACAGACATTCTGGGGTGAAAACAAAAACCAAGCAGTGGCAATGAATTCCGAGGGGTCTTTCAGAAGCAGCAGTCCTCACATACGTATAAGCTGGAAATAATTAGTTTATTACAAGCTGATGAGCTAATTCAGGCTGTGACCGTCTCGTTTCCTTCTGGAGTGGGATGCCATTGCTTCCCGGGACCACCAGATGCCAGACTTTTACTGCAAAACCTCAGCCCTCTGACTGCACAATGGAAAGAAATGTTTTATGCGCTTACATTTTCCTGAATCCCTTCAGTTTTGTTTTGTGCAAAAGGCTCATAAGCCTTTTGAGCACCACGCTTCATGCTTATTTTTAAGTATATACTGTAATTTTTTAAGATCATTTAAAAACTAATTGTAGGAGGTCACTGCGAAATGACCTCTTTGTAAACTACTGCCTTCTCTGACAAGCCGGTGACTTGAATTTCTTACTTCAAAATCATAATGAAAACTGGGCAGCTAGAAAAAGCACCACTGAAATGCACAAAAGGAATACAGTAACACTTGGTAAGGGGAAGCAGCAAAATGTTCGTATTCAATAGCTCAAAATCATTTGCATTTAACAACTTAACTGTCTTGCACAAACAGACAGCAAAATAATTACAGCCACTGTTATTTGCAGAAATGTTCTTAAGAGAAATGTTTATTCTAATTTTTTTCCAGTAATTTGAGCTGTAACTATTTCATAGTTTTCTTTTCTAGTATACACATATTTTATCTAAATTTTACACTTTAAAAATGTACCTGCTTTTATTTGATTAATTCCTAAATTCAGTTATTGCAAAATTATGCAATTATGTTTTTCCTATTAGAGTTATTAACATTCTTATTCCTATTGCAGAATGTATTATTTTAACAAAGCCTGCATTGGTTTATAAAATTTAGAAATATTGAATTAATTCATAATGAATTGACCATTTAGTGCAGAATGGAAATATTGAACTATGAATCATCCATATTGGGCCAAAGAGACAGCACATTGTGCCATAAGCACGAAGAAATATGCACAAGCACAAACACAAATAAAAGAAATATAATTTTAGTTAAAATAATGTAATGGAAAAGCAGCAGTATAAATAAACAGGCACATTATTTTGTTACAAGCACAGAGATTTGTTTTCAGTTGAAGTTGCTTTGCATTATTTCAAGGGAATACTAAATTGTAAAGTGTAGTATTATTGTAGATTTTTTTTAATCTCTCATCCTTGTGTCTATAAAACATCTCTTGATCAATGTAATGTCAATTGTTAAAGCTTTAAAAAGTAAACCTTCCAGGCAAAAATCATACGAATAAATTGGGGAAAAAAAAAAATATTCCTCTCTATATCCTCTCCCTATATAAAGGCAAAGAGTATGCAAATATCATAGGACATTAATAAAAAATTCTGACAGTTAAAGCAAAGGCTTTCATTAATAATTAAAATACAAATTATGACAGAACACAATGCTTTATTCTACCTTGAAATTATGTTGGTCTACAATTATGGTAACATGAGTTCTCAATTTTGCATTATTTTGTGGAAAAAGAAAAAGGCAATGCAATATTGTTTGGGTAATAGCAAAGAAAGCAAAGTGATATAAAATATTTACTATAAAGGCTTCTCATAAAGTGTATGCATTGTTGACATATAATCAAATAAATAATATTTCTGTTATCATAGTTCAACTACGATGAGAGCTTTGAATTCAATTTCTCTCTTAGTGTAAAAATGTTAAATACAAGAAAATGTAATGTATACCAGAGTAGTCTGAAGGCCTTTTCATCATCATCTCTCAACGTAAAATTAGGATTTATTTGAACTTGACTGAATCACCCATGGATAGCAGAAATCACTATTTGTTCTTGATTCAAGAAGAGTCTTTTTCTTGACATGAAAATGTCAAAAAGTTTCATAATGATAGTTTATGATGTCATTATAATTCCCCTCTATTCTTTAAAAACAGAGCATTAAGTCATTCCATTACACTACCTTACGCTTAATCTTTCCCTTTTTCTAAAAAAAATTGACATATTTATCATTGATTTTCCAGCAGATGTTGTACTGGATGCCCTTTTTTAAAAAGTACCTCAGTTAATCTGACCTCTCTTAATGATTACTCACATATCCTTTGGTAAGTGAATAAAACTTTTCTTTCACAGATAGTAGGTACTTAATCCTCATTATTGAGAATATGCTGAAACCTTGAATACTTGTCAAAGATTCATTTTATAATCCTGAGGTTGGTTTGCCATCAGTGATTTACACAGGGGCTGTGCTTGAAAAAATTGATTCATTCCATACTTAAAGTCTACTGCTGTCATTAAAATGACAGTACAACACTTGCTGTTGCAATTTAGATTTACTTGAAAAGAAAAAAAAGGCTTAATTCTCTCCTGGAAGTACATGATATTGAAGCAGAATAAATCATCTTGTGTGTCAAAATAAAATTACAATAATTTGATTTTTGTTCTCAAAATACTAAACTAGAAACATATTTAAAACACAAGCTAGCTTTTGAGAGGTTTGATAGAAGTTTAGCCTGCAATGGTATAACCAATGTATTCATATCTTTTTGTTGCTTTATTTGCTTCAGAGAGCATTTTTTAAAGCATTTTTAAAATCTGCCTTTGAAACCGAGTTTTAAGGTACAGCTCCTGTAGTTAATCAGCATGTCAGATGCAATGCCCCTTGATGCTAAGCTTTTATAATACATCAGACTGTAATTTTGGACTGTCGGTGAAGATGCTACACATGAAAGCATATGCACATTTACAATGACTCCAGATGAAACTGTTTAGGCTGCTTTCTCCCAGTGTATGTTGTCTTTTCTGAAAAACAGAATCAAATGCAAAGCATTTAGCCAATCCCTCACACTGACAATGTGACATGCAGCTTTCATTTTCTTGAGTGAGTTTGACGAGGGGATTAACTAAGTGCTAAGGTACAGTAGATCCCTCTAAAGGACACAGTAGTGTTTTCCCCTGTAGGTCCCAGTTTTGCAAAGCTGTTCAGGAAAGAATTCCTGGTGAAGGCACTAACTGTTGCCCAGAAAACTACAGTAAGTTAAAATTTCTGTTTGATAAGGAAAAAAAAAAGGGTTATAAATTAAAAAAAAAAAAAAAAAAGATTTTGTGCAACTCTTCCAGTAATATCATGTCATGTTAATTTTAATGAAGCTTCATTAAAGTTTTCAGATATGTAAGAAAGATGATTATCATTCCTTAACATTGTGGTTC